ATGGGCCAAATTTTGCCAAAAATGAAAAGTTGAAAATTTTCCATTTTTATAACTTCATCTGATACGTATACATGTTCTTATATTGTGTAGAAAATTCGAGCTGATTCCAATCAAAATTGGATTTTTCACGAATTTTTAAAGTTGCTCCAATGAGGCCAGCATACATGTACCATGTACAGTACATGGCTTTACTGAAGAGCAATGCAACAGAAATACAGTACAATAACTACATGTACAAGTATTATGGAAATTTCTACTGCTGCTATTACATTAATCCGATGTACAATATATCGTATACCGGTTTATTTTTTGCGGTAAAATATTTTCGCAAATTTTTATGTTTTTTGCTCCATCGTGGAAATTATGCATCCCCATCTCTATTGCCATGTGGTGCAGTCTGCAAGCTATTCAAAAAATTAATTCTGTGAAGTCCTAGAAGTGTAAGATCTCCGAAAATTTTCTACCACAAAAATAAACCGGTATAAGGTACAGCTACATGTAAGTAGGACATTCAGTCTTACCCAGGAGCAAATTATTATGGAAAAGTTCACTCTACTATTACATTAATTCAATGTACAATGTACAATATAATAATAATAATGTAGGACATTCAACCTTACCCAGGAGCAAACTTGACAGCTCCAGCATATCGAAGGACTCCTTTATCTCTCCCGGACACTATCACATGATCCCCAACCTGGAACTCTGAAGACATCTGCACATTGGAATGAGCCTCAAAAGCTCGTGCCGTCGTGAAAGACTCGTTCTTCATTCTCGAGTCTGAAGGTGTGGTAGCTGTTCTCTTTGCCCCTCCTACTGCTCCTCCTCCTGTGACTGGAGGGAGGGGGAGGGATCGATGAGGAGGAGAGAATTTAGTGATCCTCTTTAGCGCAACAAATAATCCTAAAATAATAATAATGATAAGAAAAATGTAAATTTTTGACAGATTTAATTAAGTACATGTACAAGAATTTAATAGTCTTAAAATAATAATAAGGATAATGGAACTTTCTTAACATAGTACAAAATTAAATAGACTTACATGTACATGTACATGTACATGTACATATAAAATATTTTGTGCAAAAGCTAAAATATTAATAAATGTATACAGTAATTATTATACATTAAATTATATGTAAATGTATTTTAATTCTGCATCTTGATAAAATACTAAAAAAGTAATTATTATAAATGCATGTACCTCTTTTTGGTTTACAGGAGAAGTATCTAATGCCAGCATGAGAGCCATCATTCCTTCCAGACTCATCATCTAACTCAACACCAGCCCACACTCCTGAAGAAAACATGGTGTCACCAGCAAACCTCAGGGTACCTTTCTAATAGGAGAATAGAGGGAGGGAGAAAGAAAGAGAGAGGAATGAGAGAGAGAGAGAGAGAGAGAGAAAGAGAGGAAGAGAAATGATGAACAAGGTAGAGTGGGGCCGACATGTACATGTATAAATAGTACAAACGAACATATAATTATTTATTATTATTTGAATTTTAGTCTATTATTGTATTACTACACAATAAGTACAACTCACTACAACTACTCCACCACATAATTAAAATAATTAAAGTAAATGAATTCAACAATAAAATTAAAAATACCAAAATTACATGCATTGTAAGTTTATAGTAATTAAACTACAATGTAATTCCCCTCTCCCACCTTCTCTTTAATATATCTTGCTCTCTTTCTCAATCCAGTGTAATTCCTCTCCTGTTAAACTTCTTCCTTCCCTCCCTCCCTCCCTCCTTCTCCCTTTCTCCCTCTTCCTCTTTCCCTCCCTCTCTCTTCCTCTCCCTCCCCACTCTCCCTCCTTCCCTCCCTCCCTTTCCCTCCCTCCCTCCCTTTCCCTCCCTCTCTCCCTCTCCCTCCCTCCTTCCCTTTCCCTTCTGTTTCCTGCTCCCTGAATCCATAATAACTCTATCCCCAACCTTCACTCCAAGACTCTCCAGTGTTACAGATTCATCAGGACTACCTGACGCTTGCGTACTTGGTAAGCTACTCAGTCCTGGACTGGGTCCCTCTATAGCTCCTGAGGAATCCGGTCCTTCAGTACCAGCCTGTGAGGGTAATGACTGCTGCTGCTGTTGTTGTTGAGATGATGATGATGGCTTGGAGTCTTGACGTGAGAAAGAGACATTGTGTTTCGTTGTTGAGGAGGAGGAGGAATCGGTTTTAGAACCTTTACGAGCTAAACAGAATAGAAATTATAGATTAATTATTATACATGCAGCAACGCATGCATACATCATACTAATAATATTCATGTATATGAATAATATTGACTGAACACCCACCAAGTCTAACAGTGGGCGGGCTCAGTTATTTAAACCAGAGATAACTCTCTCTGTTTAAACTATTCAGTAAAGACTGCTAAAATAGCCACCTCAGCAAAAAATGGACCAAGGGAATATGTGGATGAGAAAAAAGAAGCCTAAGTTAAGAAGATGCAAGAATTGCTCAAACTTGGTTGATAGGTGTTCAAACAACCAAAGATTCCAAAGATTCTGTAAGTTTTAATGTATATAGCACATAGTAACTTTATTTTTATACACAGGCGCCATACTTACTACACTCTCATGGATAGGTTTCAGAATAATATGTTTTATTACTTGTCAATATGTACCCCATGAAATAAAAGGCAGTAGACTTTTCTCGGATAGGAATAATGAAAGATTTAAGACTTTCCTTAGCAGTCTCTTTACTATCTACACAGTAGCTTTTATTGTAGGGATTGGATCTCTTGTTAATATTTGGCCAACAGCATTGATATTCTATGATGCAATAGCTTGTCCTATTCAGTATTTCAGTGTGTGTTACACCATATTGACATATGATAAGTCAAGTACAGGGGATGGTTTACCTAATCTACTGTTAGATGCAACAAGCAATCCAGGTAAGAAACAAAAGCGACTTTGTTAATCTACTTTCTTCTAATCTACTTTCTTCTAATCTACTTTCTTCTAATCTACTTTCTTCTAATCTACTTTCTAATTTCTACTTTCTACTTTCTAATCTAATTAATCTACTTTCTTCTTTTAAGACCAGATAAATGACAATATCACAGCCAGTGAAATAAAAAATTTCATAGCATATGAACAGTTTGTCCTACTATTCTCAACAGTTTCAGGAACAATATCTTATCTTATTTTTATATATTGTGTCCTGTGTCCTCTGTATATTAGAAAACATGAACCATGGGTTACAATACTTGGTAAAGATGAATATGTGACTGCTGGAAATCAAAATGTTCCTAGAGGTGAAAATGTTCCTGGAGGCGAAAATGTTCCTGGAGGCGAAAATGTTCCTGGAGGCGAAAATGTTCCTGGAGGCGAAAATGTTCCTGGAGGAGAAAATGTTCCTGGAGGAGAAAATGTTCCTGGAGGTGAAAATATTCCTGGAGGTGAAAATGTTCCTGGAGGTGAAAATGTTCCTGGAGGTGAAAATGTTCCTGGAGATGAAAATGTTCCTGAAGGTGAAAATGTTCCTGGAGGTGAAAATGTTCCTCAAGGCAAAAATGTTCCCGAAGTACTGAGCCCACTTCATCCATTTAATGACAATTACAATCAGACCAATGATGAAAATGGCAAAAAAACAAGTACTGAACTTGATGGGAATGAATGGATCAGGTTTTGGATATTTTGGTTATTCAGCATTGCTCTGCTGATTAGCATGTGCATAGTGTTCTTCATTCACTACAATAAAAGACAATTTCTCCCACAAAGCAGTGGCATCACATATAAATACAATACTGCTGCCACTGCAGTATTTGAAAAAGTCACAGCAGCAGCATACTTCTACTCGCTTTTCTGCACCATATCAACTTGTTTCATTTTCTCAAAGGTGATGTATGGAGTGCAGAACAAATGCAAGGGTCTGTTCAAGAATAAAGACACAATTGAGAACTTTATGGAAGAAGATAAGAATTTCATTAGAAGGGCCATTGAAACTCAGACACCATTTGAAATGTGGTTCTTCATCCATTGGGCTATGTATATCATAACTTCCTTTCTCTCTCTCTCATTTTTCTTTGAAGCCATTAACAAGAAGATACAAGCTACATTAGTCGATCATGACTCTGGGATTGGCTTTCATAATTTAGAGCTTGCACTAATTGCTTTACTTGCACTGTCTAATTCCTTCTTCTTCCTTTATCCATGTATCAGAGCTGCTGGTGTCACTGAGTCAAGAAAGAGCCTCATTCGTGATGTGAACAATAGCATTAATTTTAAAAATAATAATAACAAGAAAAATGATAAAAGGAAAGCTTTCGTTAATTACCTGAAGGAAAAGAATTATGGCTTTCGTCTGAACATCCTTTGTGCTCATGTCAAGTTCAACCTCAACATTGCCTACATCTCAATATTCATTGGACTGTTAGGTGTACTCATTAAAGTTGGTAGTAGCATTTAACATAAACACTGCATGCTTGCTTTACATTTGTGCTTTGTTTAGTATATTTTAGCTAGGCTTGTTTTTACATCGATAACTTTTGGTTTCTATGTATACAGAATAACTCTAGTATAGTTATCTTGCTATTGCTATAATTGTTTTATCATTTTAATTTTTGCTGCTGTTTTGATATACATGTACTTATTTGTATCGTTACATTTGGTTTTTTTGTTTTTTTTGGTTGCTTTTTTTCCTTAATTGCCTAATGATATTTTATTGAACTGAAGTTCCATTGTTCCAAAAGCACAGGTCACACCATAAAGGGAGGAATAAGATCAATCTTTTCTACAATAGCTCAATAGCTAGCAGTTGTAAAGATACAATACTATACTAACACTGAAAGAATAACAGCATTACCTCTCTATGACAACTCTCCCATATAGCATTACCATAGACTGTATGCTGTTACTATGCATAATGTAATAAAAGCACTGTGTATAACACCCATCAATTGCTCCTGCAAGTTCTGTAGTAACACAATCTGTCCTTAACAATGCATTGTCTAAGAAAGTACATGTACTAAACCACCTCCAATCCAAGCAATGAATGTAGATGTGCAATGATCCACTCTAATCTGAGATGGATTAGCCTTTCATTTATCCATTCATGTAATGGAAGCAAAAGAATCTATTGATAGTACTTGACTTGCTGTCATTAACTGAATGATAATATAAAACAATAACCTTAATGACTGTACTGTATTAGGATAGTACAGCCACTCTGATGTTACTGGACCTTTTACAAGTGAAATGATTGATAATAATTATAATGGAATACATGCTAAAATAATACATTGCATGTACATGCTAAAATAGCACACACATACAGTGCATGTACTACCGTATAGCTCCAAATTTTCATCAGTTAAAAATTTCCCCAAATTCTTCAGGTATTTTTGTTTGACAAAATTTTTAACTTTGGGTACAGAAATGGCAAAAAATTCTATTGACAAAAATTAATTCTTAAAAAAATTTATGACTGACAAAAACTTGGAGCTACATGTACATGTACATGAATAAGGTACATATCTTAATATGCAAATACAAATAAATGTACATGCATGTATACAAGCCTACCTCCTTTCAAGTTAGAAGTGGGTGTGACAGAGAGCGTTGGTTTATTACTGGCCGGTGACCCACGGGACCCACGAGTGCCAGTGGAGGAGAGAGAATGAGCTGAAGGTGACTCGGAACGACGGACAGTCTTAATAGGAGGACGAGATAAGGAGGCCTCATGTAAACAGTCTCTCAGCTCCTTAGCTATTAGTTTATCTGAATTAGAGGAGACTGTATGGGGAGAGAGAGAGAGAGGAAAGGACGGAGGGATACATGTACATGTATATGTACAGATAAAACATGAATAATACAACAGAATAATAAATGTACATGTACAGTATAGCCTGCTATTGTGGACACTCTAAAATAAGGAGGCCTCTATAATGAGGATAGGTAGTATCAGTCCCAATACAATAGTAATGTGTATTAATGAACCTCTGAAATAAGGACAGGTTCATAATCAGGAGGGTATTATTGGGTACCAAGGTGTCCGGAATAGACAGGCCTGACTGTACATGTACATGTACATTATTTTAATACATGTGCTTGTAGTACATTACTATACTATATCCCAGTTGAGTTTGGGACAAGAAAAACTGGAATAACTTTTTATAGGAAAGTGAGATAAGGATGAAACTTTCACAGGTTCTTAGTCACCAAAGTCCATCAAAATCTGTGAAACCTTGGGTCTCTTAACCCTTGGAAACCCTGAAAACCGGGTTCTCCCTATAAACCCAATGGCATACCAAAGCTAACTGCAATGACATTCATGATGTCATAGTTTACATAAGCACATGTAGTTGAGCGCCCAAACTGATAATTCTTCTTTTAAAAAGCTAACAGAGCAAGATTTTCTGATAATGATGGCCTTTATGAAGATTAGTCCAGCAGCTATTGTACTGCTTATCAGCAGCAGAAAATATTCCACGCAGCCGCTTCCACTTCCGTCCCAAACTGAACTGGGATATAGTATACATATATGTGACCATAATTGACAAAAGGGCCCTTATGGCGGATTTTAAAATTCATCTTTAAAATGAAAAATATCAACCTGTGAGTGCTCTGTTAGTCAACAATTGTTTCTATAAGCTACATAGTAACTTTTTGCATCCTCTGGAGTAATTTTATGATTAATGGAGCTCAGGAAGTTGGATTTTTTAGGCTATAAAGACCAATTTTCCTATCCGCCATAAGGTACCTTTTGTCAATTATGGTCACATATTGTTAAAAATTTTCTTTCTCATCTTTTGCAAACATTAATGGCTTTAATATACACATCTACATGTACATGTATATACAAATGTACACTAAGGCCTGGTTTACACGACTACGTTTTAAAGTAAAACGGATATATTTTTAGTCGGATAAGGGTCTCGTTTACACTAAAACACAAGAAAGCACATCAAATCCGAACAAAAGAAAAACGAATACCAAAACAGATAAGTCTATAAACGAATGATAAAGTCCAATAAAAACGCAGCTGCTGGATTAATGTAAACACATGAAAACAGTAATAGCAAAACCAATGCAGATTAGGCTAGTCGTCGTATATACATGTACATGTATATACAAATGTACACTAAATAAGATTTTAATAATTATTTGATTGTACCTTGTGGAATGACCTCGTGAGGTAAGAGACCAGTAGCATCAGCAAAACCAGCATCAGCTTTGTACTTCAACTGAAAAAGAGAGAAAAGAATAAAAATTGAGAGTCATTTCGAAGTTAATTTTTGGAATAAAAGGGCTTTAAAGTACAAGGTATTTTTTTTAATTGGCCAGTTTTTCAAAAAGGCCATAACTTAATAAATTTTACTTTAGAATCAGCTCATAGCATAAGGACATTAATATGCATCAGTAATTAGCTAACCAGGGTCTTAGCAGACGCCAGTGAGAGGCTAGCAGCTGCAATGTGTAACGAGTTCCCTCCATCAAACTGAGAGGAGATGGTAGTCAGCAGTACTATGAATATAAATGATAATAATATTATACGGCAAAAATGACACTTGTTACATGAAAACGTGTACATGTACAATAAATTTACATTTACATGTACTTGCATACACATGTACTACAGTAAATGCAAGAATTAAGACTTTGACAAGAAGCATGGACTTTTTGGAAAGAAGTCCAGTGTATGGATTATGATAAGGATTTTTAGAGCAACTTGAAATATTCCTTTAAAAAATTCAAATTTGATTGGAATCAGATCAAACTTTCTACGCAACATAAGTACATGTATATGTAGCAAAAAAAGCTATAAAAATGGAGAATTTTATACTTTTCATTTTTGATGAAATTTGGCCAAAATGCCTGTACTATAGTACAGGGACTTTTGCCCAATTTTTGAGCAACTTTAAAAATTCATTAAAAAATTTAAATTTGATCGGAATCAGCTCAAACTTTCTACGCAACATAAGTACATGTATATGCATCAGAAAAAGTTATTGAAATGGAAAATTTTATACTTTTCATTTTTGATCAAATTTGGCCAAAATCCCTGTACTATAGTACAGGGACTTTTGCCCAATTTTTGAGCAACTTTAAAAATTCATAAAAAATTTAAACTTGATTGGAATGAGTTAAAACTTTCTACACAACATAAGTACATGTATATGTATCAGAAAAAGTTATAAAAATGGAGAATTTTATACTTTTCATTTTTGATCAAATTTGGCCAAAATCCCTGTACTATAGTACAGGGACTTTTGCCCAATTTTTGAGCAACTTTAAAAATTCATTAAAAAATTTAAATTTGATCGGAATCAGCTCAAACTTTCTACGCAACATAAGTACACGTATATGTATCAGAAAATGTTATAAAAATGGAGAATTTTCTACTTTTCATTTTTGATGAAATTTGGTCAAAATCCCTGTACTATAGTACAGGGACTTTTGGCCAATTTTCGAGCAACTTTAAAAAATTCAAAAAAATTCAAATTTGACTGGAATCAGCTCAAACTTTCTACACAACATAAGTACACCTATACGTATCAGACAAAGTTATAAAAATAGAGAATTCTATACTTTTCATTTTTGATGAAATTTGGCCAAAATCCCTGTACTATAGTACAGGGACTTTCGCCCAATTTTTGAGCAACTCATAAAAAATTCAAATTTGATCGGAATCAGCTCAAACTTTCTATGCAACATAAGTACACCTATATGTATCAGAAAAAGTTATAAAAATGGAGAATTCTATACTTTTCATTTTTGATGAAATTTGGCCAAAATCCCTGTACTATAGTACAGGGACTTTCGCCCAATTTTTGAGCAACTCATAAAAAATTCAAATTTGATCGGAATCAGCTCACATGTATATGTATCAGATAAAGTTATAAAAATGGAGAATTCTCTCATTTAAATTTTTGACAAAATTTGGTCAAAATGTACAGTGCTACAAGCCATGTACATTTACATGTGCATATACTCTAAATCCCCACCTGGATTATGTTCACAGAGTAATTCTACAACCTCCGCACAATCAAAGAACACAGCATAATGTAAGGCATTCATGTCTGTCCAATGACACTTTAGATCAGTACTGGCACCCTTTAATGGAGGAGGGGGAGAGAGAGAGAAAAAGAACAAAAGAATTATATACATGTATGTACATGTATTAGTGATTAATAAATGAATTAAAATTGAGTAACGGCCATTTTTAAAGTAGCAAATGTTTTAGAAAATACCCTGTACTATAGCGAATGCTTTTTGCTTTTTTTCTGAAAAATGGGTGCATCCATGCCATATTAATACATGTACACAGCAAGAGTGCTTAGATTCATTTATCACAAAATGAATTCTTAAAAAATTTTATTAATCTAAATGCATGCACATGTACATGTACAAATAAACTAAGTTTATTCAAGCGAGCCAAAAACATCAAAATTAAAACTTATCCAAACAAATACAAATATCCCAATCATATCCTAACAATATCCAAACTAATAATGGCCCATACTTTATTGAGTAAAGTGTTAACGAGGTTAGCAGCTGTGGTACCATTGCCTATGCCCACAGCTCCCGCCTTTGAAGCAAAGTGAAGCAAAGAGAGATCAGTTAGTCCATCCTTATCATTAACATGTGCTCCTCTTCTTAATACCTGTTGGAATATGAGGAGAAGAGAGAGAAAAAATATTAAAGATACATTGCAAGTGGTTATAGTTATACAAATGTGCATTACAAAAAAGGAGAGAAACAAAGAAAAAAGAGAGAAAGAGGAGAGAGAGAGGATACATGAGAGAGTATGCATGAAAGAGATAGAGCAATAAAGATACATGTACATTGTAAGTGGTTATACATGTACAATGTGCATTACAAAAAGAGAGAGAGAGAGAGGGAGGAAGAAAGAGATTAAGAGAGAGGTAAAATCAATAAAGAAACATCAGAGACAGTATAAAATTAATGACAAATATTTTTCGTAATGTTCTGTACATGACATACATGTACATACAATGTTTTTTATATAAATATTATCTACATTATGTGTGTGTGTACATGTACATATGTATAGTATGTACATGTACATGTATGTCACTTATACTAACCTCTCTTGTTAATAGCGTTAGGTGTCCTTGAGTCTGTGGTATCCATTGCCTCATGATAGCAAACAACTGAGATATAGTGGTCTTGGGACTAGAGGGAGAGAGAGAGAGAGAGAGAAGAACAAATAAGGATATAAGGATAAAGGTACATGTACATGTACATGTGTATATGTACATGTACATGTATGTTATGGAAAAGGGATAGAACAGAAGTGCCAAAAATAGATAAAAACAATAGTACAATACTGGTTGGTAGGTATACATATACATGTACATATTATGTAGTAAAGAGTACAAAGAGGGATAGGCATTTACAATCTAGAGGACCATGAAAGGTAACAAATACTAAAATACAAATGTACTTGTACTGTAGGATTAGTAAATAAAATGAATGATGTACATGTACAGTGTTCATAACAAGTACCAGTACATACATGTACATGTACATAAGATGGATACGCCAACATACAAATTACATGTAATTTTTACGATATTGTGTGTGGTGACTTCCTTCCTGATATAAAAGTAATCGTTATTTTAGAGTAAAAAATACAAAATAAAAACAACACGTACCATCACTCTATGTATACATTATGTTCAACAAAACGTAAAAATTACACAGAGCAGATTGTTCTTAATATTAATGCCACCATGTTAACACATATGTACATGTACATTAAGACATTCATGAATACAGTACATGCACATGTGGTACTTTTGTTAAATTCTGCATATTTAAAAAACAGCTACTACTTACATGTACAAGTACATAGAATTAACAATAAGAACATCAATAAATGTAATAATAATAAATATAATGTATAGTAGACTACATAAAATTAAATATAAATAGAAAAGAGAGTAGACAATAAAGTACAGTACATGTACATAAGAAGTGAATTAATTATGTAGATACTAAATCAATTGTATTGTGAATGGTTTGCTTGAGACTCATACTTTGAAAGGACGTCCTGACAACTGCTACAGGTTGGATCAAAGAAACAAAGATCAGCAGCACGACACTAGAAGAGAGAAACAGAGAGAGAGAGGGGGGAGATAGGGGGGAAGAAGAGAGGGAGAGAGAGAGGGAGGGAGGGAGAGAGGGGAGAGAGAGGGAGAAAAGGAAAGAGACAGACAAAAGAGTGACAAAAAGGAAGTGTAAATGAAAGAGGAGAAGGTGAGAGAGAGAGAGAGATACAGTAGGAGAGGGGGAGATAAAAGGATTCAAATATAATTATCAAATCCCAAGAGTGATGTACATAATGAACTTACAGACACACACTAAGGACTACAGTCATCATACCACAAAACTCATGACAATTGAACAATAAAACTATTGACAGACTAAGGGGATTTCATTGGATATCTTATAAGGGGAGACTGTGGTTTAACTGTATACATTAATAACAGTATACTGTATGTGTTGCTAAATTGACATTTCACACTTGGTACACTAGTAATAGTAAGAGTATTGGTAGCAGTAATGCAGTTAAGTTGATACATGAGTAATAGTAATTATAGCTTAGGGAAAGAACTCTTGATTAAGAAAGTACCCTCTCTCTATCAATCACTGACTCATAATACAAACTAGACATAACTGTATAACTGTATGACTACAATGTACATGTACTCTCATTACAATGTAGAAGTACTCGTATCATGTCAAATTTTAAATTGACCATTAAAATTAAATCACAAAAAAAACACAAGAATACAAACTGTCTAATTCTGTCTTACATGTACATGTTGATATACACTATACAGTACATGTATAATACATGCAACTGACAGTATACAAGTGTGTAAAGACCCAGTACATCAATGGAGAGGATGAGAGAGAAGAGATGAGTGCAGGTGGTGGTATAAAAGGTGGTACACAGTACATGTAATATCAGACCATGGAACATCAAACCAAACCACCAAACCACAAAGAAATGGGGAGAAAGGAGAAGCTACTTATGCAATATATATGCTACTCGGATTACTGCTTCCTTTATAACTGTTAACAGTCAATTCTGAATCCTTAACAATCATAAAAATGAGCAATAATACAATTCTTACTTCTTCACAGATAGGTGCTTCGGCGCACGGGTGAACTACAGGGCTGTCACGGGTAGGGACGGTGAAATCGACTATTGTGAATCCACCAGACTATAGGAAATATAAATAATGTTAGTAGAAGCAAGTGATATTGACCATTTTGTCTTCTCTTCTTCTTGCTACACCACCATTGACGCAGCCACGCCCTAAATAAGATTCAGCCACACCCTAATTAACTATTAATGAGACACTCCCACTGCTATGAATAATAATAATATAATCTTACAATGCTCAGGAATGAGGAATGCTGTTGCTGCAAATTATTCTTTACCTAACAACAGCACATTTAACTTTAATAAATTAGGTTTTCAATATTGTCAAACTACACAGTGCATGCAATATACCTATATCAGTCTCACCACTATGATCTTGATTGACAGTTTGCTATTGACATCTACAATGCAGTGCCACATTATGAACCAAATTAATGGCTGACACATTTTGAAAGGGCAATTTCAAAAAAATAGCAACAAAAGCAATCAAAGCCTACACAAAGCAGAGTTTAATATTAACTAAGAAGCTAACCGAAAATTGTTATTTTAATTTCGATGAGTATCTTCATTAATACTGCCATAAGTAGCAGCTGTAGCAATATATCTAGTAAAGGCGGGTTGTTGATCCTCTTCAGATACATCATCCATTCTACCAGGAACATGTTGTTCATCATATTCTTGTGGATTCTCCATACGATCAGCAATCCAATCATCATCATTACCAACTAATGGCTGATGGTCTTCTTCTTGATTTCTGTTAGCCACTGGATTATTTCTTTTATGATAACGATAACATGATTTTATCATTTTGTATACCTGGTAGATTATATAACCTGGTATAATAATGACAAAAATTAGACCATTGATAATTAGTGGTAGAAATAGAAAAATGTTTAATATTATTACAAAAACAATATCAGATTTAACCGACTTTGAGATAAGAATAGAATTAACAGTGCTTGTGCATCCAAAAATTGTTGTTACAAACAGGATAAGAAATTCAGCAAAATTATGAACATTTCTTTGGAAAGGACGAAAGATGATAACTATTACTGCTAGTAAGAAGGAACAGCAAGCTTGAGAAATTGGTATTGAAATTATGGAATAATATCCATAAATGAATTGACTCAAAATGATTATTCTTGCCAGTAGGTATAGTCCAGCCATGAAACGATAATCATAAGTATTCTCAGTTCCATTCTTATAAGGACCAGTAAACACATCACCCAGTGATATCAGTAGCTGTTTCCTCAAATGTAAACAATCAAATAACTTATGAAACCATTTGAATGGATAAAAGAGTATATAAAGTGTTGGTAGAACAATCAGAAACAATAACACTAAGATTGCAAAGAAACCAGCAGCACCATGCTTTACATCAAAGTAATTCTGCTTTATATCATAATAGAACTTAGTGTCATTAAAGCTAGATGTACTGTTTGCATCAAAACTCAATAGTTTAAAGGAAGTGGCAGCTAATTGAGTGAAGCAGAGTATATATATTGATGCTATAGAGTGAGTAAAAGATGGTTCAATGCCAGTCATACTCCAGAAACGAGCCATGCAACGATGAAATGGTCTAGTAATAAATATTACACACTTGTAACCTTTATCATACAATGTTATCCAAACATAGAGTAAGAGGAGGAGGAGCAATGGATAGAATCCTATCACATACCAAAATGAGATAGCACCTAATGGTGATGTATTAGGTGATATACACATAAAGTAATTATAAATAAATTGAGTGAAATCTAAATTAAATATATTGCATGGTACTTCAGTTGGTGATATTAATGGGATATTGATTAAAAAGTTATAGTAATGATAAACAGGGAAACTTATTGTCATTATTTGTGAATAGAATACCACTCCATTAATAGATCCTTTGGTTAGTTGTATATTTAATATTATTATTAATAATACCATGATTGTGATAGGTAATATTTCTATTGCAATAAATACCAGTAAACCATATTTATCGCATTCAACACATGTTTTAAAATTGTTAAAAGGTACTCCCTTCAATGCACAGTCTACATAACACTCTCCTGTAGTATTGTCAATACACGGATCATTAGAGTTTTCATTATAGTTCAGGAAGTTATTGCGGTAAGGAAGTTCATATGATGGCTTTCCCATATCACAGGTAGGTAGATCTAATGTACAATTTGAATCTTCTGATTCGCATGTAGCAGTTACATAAAGAGTTTTATTAATTGTTACTTTAAACGATTGAATGTAAAGAGAAACTTTAACAGGACCAAAACCAATATATTCACTAAAACATTTATTGATTTGATAGCATGGTTCTTCAGGGTCAAAACAGCTTGATTTTGAAATGCTATAAATCTTGTGATCAACTGAAGAGTTAATACTAATACGAACATCAAATTCATAATTCCAATCAAATTTTTTATTGGTAGAAGGATCAATGACCATAGCAGTAAATGAAAGATACTCACACCGACAGTTGCTATTATATTGGTAATAGTCAGAACAAGAAAGGTCAGTGTCAATAAAGTCTAACTGTAAATCTAGACAGATCTCGTAACCCAGTACTGGTTCATTGTGTGTAGTAATATCAAAGGATGGTTCAGCACATGTAACAGGAACATTGTTACAATTATAAAGACTAACACATTCAAATACAATATACCTCAACCAGTTATATGAAGAAGATGAAACATGTAGACACGTGATACTAACCTCTTCATATCTACTACCATCCCTCATACCAATAATACTCACGTTATTCCTCAGTAGCTGTTGCTCTAGTAGACTAGTGGTGTCTAGTGTATATGTACCAGGAGACAGGTTGATAAGGATACCTGATGAACAGTTGTATTGTAGAGTAGCAGTTCCTTGTATAGCTAGATCAATAGTAGCACAAGGTGTTTGAATTCCTCCAGTCCAACAAGAGGTATTGTTGATACCATGAGATGAACTGACATAGATCCTACACTCCAAACCAGCAGCAGAATATACTAGAACAAGAGAAAGAAGAGAGACAAGAACCACTCCAGGAGACATCATTGCTATGGATGGTTGGAAAGCACAAATACACCCCAAAATTCTTCAAATACACCCCAAAATTCTTCATGGATTGTTTTGACATAACTCTTATCAATAAACCATTGAAAGATGAGAAGGAGATATTGTAGCTAAAAGAGGTTCACAATAGCTCATTCTACCTATAGACTAAAAATTAAGAGCATAATCAAAGATAGGCCTATAATGTGGTAGAAATATAAAGTGAGAGAAAGGGAAGAAATATTGCTGATGCAGCATCTCATTGTAGCATAAGAAAGGAACATTATATCATTATTATACTATCAAGAGTACATGTCTCTTTTGATACTATACTGTTGCTATTTGCTGAATTACTATCTCTATATCATTATCTTTGTACACTTTTGTTTAAAGTTTGCACTGTATTGTTTATTACTTTGCTGTGTACTTTTTGAGCCTCAAATTAATCATGATTTGAATCAAGTATAAATAGAGAATTCTCTTAATTGCAAAATTGATCAAGATAATTGTCAGCCCCTCATGAAAATGGTAGTTTTTCAAAGCTTTTTTATAAACAAAAGCAATCAAAACCTACACAAAACAAATATAACTAAAAAACAAACCAAAAAATCTTAACTTCAAACAGTATCTTCATCCACACTGCCATAAGTAGCTACTGTAGCAATATATCTAGTAATGGGTTGTTCATGTTTTTCGGATACATCATCCATTTTACCAGGAACATGTTGTTCATCATATTCTTGTGGATTCTCCATACGATCAGCAATCCAATCGTCATGATTACCAACTAATGGCTGATAGTCTTCTTCTTGATTTCTGTTAGCCACTGGGTTATTTCTTTTATGATAGCGATGACATGATTTTATCATTTTGTCTATTTGGTTAACCATATAACAAAGTATAAAAATGCCAAATATTAGAGTATGGACACATGGTAGCACAACTATTGTAATTACATATACTATGCTAAAACCATCATTAGAAAAAGAAGCAACACTATTTGTGCATCCAAGTGCTGTTACTAAAAACATAATTAAAAATTCAGAAAAGTTATGAATGTTTCTTCTAAATGGACGAAAGATGATAATGATTACTGCTAGAAGAAAGGAACAGCAACCTTGAACAATTGGTATTGAATACATGAAATAGTATCCATAAATGAATTGACTCAAAATGATTATTCTTGCCAGTAGGTATAGTCCAGCCATGAAACGATAATCATAAGTATTCTCAGTTCCATTCTTATAAGGACCAGTAAACACATCACCCAGTGATATCAGTAGCTGCTTCCTCAAATGTAAACAATCCAATAACTTATGAAACCATTGGAATGGATAAAGGAGTATATAAAGTGTTGGTAGAACAATCAGAAACAATAACACTAAGATTGCAAAGAAACCAGCAGCACCATGAACCCCCTTAAAGTAATCCTGCTTCATATCATAATAGAATTTGAGGTTAGATAAACTGTTTAGATTAATACTTAATATTTTAAAGGAAGTAGCAGCTAATTGAGTGAAGCAGAGTATATATATTGATGCTATAGAGTGAGTAAAAGATGGTTCAATGCCAGTCATACTCCAGAAACGAGCCATGCAACGATGAAATGGTCTAGTAATAAATATTACACACTTGTAACCTTTATCATACAATGTTATCCAAACATAAAGTAAGAGGAGGAGGAGCAATGGATAGAATCCTATCACATACCAAAAGGAAATTACTCCTAATGGTGATGTATTAGGTGATATACATAATGAATAGTTGTAAATAAATGAAGTGAAATCTAAATGAAATACATTGCATGGTATTTCAGTCAGAGGTAGTATATCTAAATCAATTGCACCATCATAATAATAATGATAAGAGTAATAATAATGATAATGGAAATAATAAATGAAATAACTTATTGCTATTATTTGTGAATAGAATACCACTCCATTAATAGATCCATTGGTTAGTTGTATATTAAATATTATTATTAATAATACCATGATTGTGATTGGTAATATTTCTATTACAATAAATATCAGAGACCCATATTCATTACATTTGACACATGTAGATGGATCATTTATTAGTACACTCTTTGATGTACAGTTAATGTAACACTGCCCTGTACTATCATGGCAATAGCTATTAGTATCATTGATTAAACAAGGGAGGTAGTATGCAGTATTGCATACTTGTGATTTGATGTTGCCAACTCCTCCAGTTGTACAAAAGGTATTGTTGATACCATCAGATGAATTAACATTGATCCTACACTCCAAACCAGCAGCAGAATATACTAGAACAAGAGAAAGAAGAGAGACAAGAACCACTCCAGGAGACATCATTGATTCAGGGCCACTATGTCTTAAGGTGCCAAAGTGACAGTTTACATAACACATCAATTTCATAGTGTCTTTTCAGGATGTGCTTTTATTTGCCAAATTGTATAGAAAGTAAATTAGTGTAAGAATTCACTAGTAACAACTTTTTGAAGAAACACTATAAAAGTATTCTGCCAAATTTTAAAATCAAAATATTAAGAAATCAAATCAAAATGACTATATAAAATCAGAACTATACAGTCCTTGATCACTATAAGTGTACCTAGTGCACACAAAACACACATGATGTGTACAATGATACAACCACTAGTCAACTAAGTATATATAGGTTATACACATGCACCGAGGTACACCGTAGAGGTTTCTATGGTATTTATTAACCGAGCGACGCGCGCAGTCGCGAGGTTAATAAATACCATAGAAACCGATACGGAGGTGTATAACCAACTTCTACCATGACACTTGAAAAACAACTACCAGCTGCTGATAATAAGACCACAGTTGACATACATACAACATATCTAACAGGCTAGGCCAGTAAAGAATCAACCAAACTTGACAAATGGACTAATAAGAGCCTGGCATAAGCGTAGAGTACCAAACTGCCAATCAATTAATTATTTAACGAGATAGGTTTATATTTTTACGAGCTAGGTTAAAGGCCTTTCTACACTTGTCCACTTTGGATCCAGAATTGCAACCTATTAAGATAGAATCCTCTTTGGTTGTGTTCACACTAAGCTACTTTGAAGAATTAAAAGTGAATTAAACTGCATTGGCTTCTACAGGTTATGAATATTTAATTGAGATCAACCCACTTCAATCCACCTCTGGATGTGGATTGACTGGATCTAGCTTCAATCCCAATTCAAGACAAGTGTGAACAAGCTAATCCTGCTTTAATCATGGATTTTGTCTTGATTTTGGATCCAAAGTGGACAAGTGTAGAAAGGCCTTTATATGAAAAATAATTGACCTCCAATAATGCAATCTGATTGGTCAATCGCAAAGTGGCATGGTAGAATAATAATAATAACTAATGAATGACTCACTCACTACAAAAATAAATAAGTAAAATCTAAAATAGATAGGTTCATGTTTATGTAGCAATCATAGCAACAAGTGTTGCTATGACAATGAGGACAGAAGATACCCAGGATTATCATCAGTTGGATTAAGAGTACCAGCTATGGCTATGTTGTATTGGTCTTGTGTGAATGTAAAATTACCACAACTCTCTTAAAACAGCAGCCTATATATATTTGGGGGGTTGTTCAAAAAGGTTCCATTCAAGAGTCAAGACTCCAATTCAATGCAACAATTATATAATCAGGCCTAATATAATGCATTACAAAGTGTTAGCAATTGTAGAATTTAAGAAAGAAATTTAAACATTATTATTACTATTACTGTAAAACTGTTTCCATTAGCTGGAATATAGATTGCTATTACACTGTTCCATATTTTTGTACACTTGCCAGTTTGCTAGGCCCAAAATTTCCATGACTTGATTGGAATCAGGTAGATGTAGAATGAATTATTGTCGTTGCATGCAGTATTGACAATACAAAAAATTAATTTTTAAAAAACAAAATAAATCAAAACCTACAAAAACAAATTAAATAACTAACAAACTAACCAAAAATGATTTTTAATTTCAAAAAAGTAGCCATGCACTTCATTGCTGAATGCTGCCATAAGTAGCAGCTGTAGCAATAGTAATGGGTTGTTGATCCTCTTCAGATACATCATACATTCTACGAGGAACATGTTGTTCATCATATTCTTGTGGATTCTCCATACGATTAGCAATCCAATCAACATCATTACCAACTAATGGCTGATAGTCTTCTTTTTGATTTCTGTTAGCCACTGGATTATTTCTTTTATGATAATGATAACATGATTTTATCATTTTGTATACCTGGTAGATTATATAACCTGGTATAATAATGACAAAAACTAGACCATTGACAGCTGGTAACAATTTAAAGCTAAATTGTGATTGTATTGAATAATCAGTAGCAGAATAAGAGTAATAGTTAGGTGAGCTTGGGAGAACTAAGGAACCAGTTATACTGCTTGCACATCCAAGTACTACAGTTACAAACATGACTAAAAATTCAGCAAAATTATGAATATTTCTTTGAAAGGGACGAAAAATGATAACTATTACTGCTAGTAAGAAGGAACAGCAAGCTTGAGAAATTGGTATTGAAAATATGGAATAATGTCCATAAACAAATTGACTCAAAATGATTATTCTTGCCAGTAGGTATAGTCCAGCCATGAAACGATAATCATAAGTATTCTCAGTTCCATTCTTATAAGAACCAGTAAACACATCACCCAGTGATATCAGTAGCTGCGGTTTCCTCAAATGTAAACAATTTAATAACTTATGAAACAATTGGAATGGATAAAGGAGTACATAAAGTGTTGGTAGAACAATCAGAAACAATAACACTAAGATTGCAAAGAAACCAGCAGCACCATGAACCCCCTTAAAGTAATCCTGATTCATATCATAAAATAATTTAGTGTCATTGAAGCTAAATATACTGTTTGCATTGAAGCTCAATATTTTGAAAGAAGTGGTAACTAATTGAGTGAAGCAGAGTATATATATTGATGCTATAGAGTGAGTAAAAGATGGTTCAATGCCAGTCATACTCCAGAAACGAGCCATGCAACGATGAAATGGTCTAGTAATAAATACTACACACTTGTAACCTTTATCATACAATGTTATCCAAACATAGAGTAAGAGAAGGAGGAGCAATGGATAGAATCCTATCACATACCAAAAGGAAATTACTCCTAATGGTGGTGTATTAGGTGATATACACATAACATAATTATAAATAAATGGAGTGAAATCTAAATTAAATATATTGCATGGTATTTCAAACTGTGGAAGTACTGACATATCAGAGCCATGATAATAATAATAATAATCACGAGAATAATAATAATAATAATAATAATAATAAACAGAATAACTTATTGATATTATTTGTGAATAGAATACCACTCCATTAATAGATCCATTGGTTAGTTGTATATTAAATATTATTATTAATAATACCATGATTGTGATAGGTAATATTTCTATTGCAATAAATACCAGTAAACCATATTCATCACATTCAACGCATATGTAAGGAATGTTCAGAGGTATTCCACTTGATGGACAGTAAATATAACACTCTTTAGTAATGTTGTCATAACAGCGACTATGAAAATTGCTAAAGCAAGGAAGTTTGTATGGCGGGTTTTCTGTATCACAGTTGGATTGTGCACAGTTACCACTAAAGCATTCAGTTGTTATGTTTATAGTTGTATTAACACGAAGGTTTAGTGCATAAATATATAGTGACAATTCCTTAGAACTATTATCAATAAAATTAAAACACTTATTATTCACTTCATATAGATGTAATTCACGAGAACCATTAACTGCATAGCAATCATGATATGTAGAGGACTCAATACTAAAGCAAACATTAAGATAATATTCCCAATCAAGTGACTTGTTAGTACAAGTATCAACAATTTTAGCAGTAAATAAAAGATACTCACACTGACAGTTCTCATTAATGTAATGATCATAGCAACCTAGGTCTGCATCAATTTCTTCAAAAACTAATTTATAATGTGGACAAACCTCATCCCCCAGTACTGGTTCATTGTGTGTAGTAATATCAAAGGATGGTTCAGTACATGTAACAGGAACATTGTTACAATTATAAAGACTAACACACTCAAATACAATATACCTCAACCAGTTATATGAAGAAGACGAAACATGTAGACACGTGATACTAACCTCTTCATATCTACTACCATGCCTCATACCAATAATACTCACATTATTCCTCAGTAGCTGTTGCTCTAGTAGACTAGTAGTGTCTAGTGTATATGTACCAGGAGACAGGTTGATAAGGATACCTGATGAACAGTTGTATTGTAGAGTAGCAGTTCCTTGTATAGCTAGATCAATAGTAGCACAAGGTGTTTGAATTCCTCCAGTCCAACAAGAGGTATTGTTGATACCATGAGATGAACTGACATAGATCCTACACTCCAAACCAGCAGCAGAATATACTAGAACAAGAGAAAGAAGAGAGACAAGAACCACTCCAGGAGACATGATTGTATTCATTGTTCTTCAGACAAAACCCACAAAAGGGTCACCCTATGACCAAACCACATCATGTGATAGTTTAGATATCTAACCATAGACTAGACTATAGTGCTCATTTTGCTTGGAGCTCTGGACTAAAACAATTAATATTATCCAACACTTAACTTGATCAGAAAATGAGTAAAAATCTCTACTGCCTACATTAGCATTGCATAATGTAAACAATGCTGGTTTGAGATATGATAGTGACATGCTGTTAAACAGTAGTAAACAGTGATTCATATCTACTCTACATGTGTACATCAGACATGTTTCCAGTTATTAAAATAGATGGATGTACATTTTATTCTTGCATACACTCCTTGAACAGTATTTGTGTGTTTAAAATTCTTCACACATTACTACATACCCCAAGTACAGCTACATTTAATAAACACATTTGGCATCATAAACAGAATCAATCAAAAACCTACACAAAGCAAAAAATGCAAAATTTAATAGAAAAAAAAACTCAAGCACATGATTATTTTTGGTAGCAGCTACAGTAGTAGTAGCAATAGGTTGATTATTCTTCTCAAGAGCAGCATTCATATATCAGGAACATGCTGTTCATCATATTCTTGTGGATTCTCCATACGATCAGCAATCCAATTATCATCATTACCAACCAATGGCTGATGGTTGATGTAACAAGATTAAGCTTATACTACATTACAGGCACATGCTTTTATTCATGTAAGAACT